AAAAAGATAATAATAATAATAATAATAAAAAAGGACACTGTCGATGATAAATGGCTGCTGTGGGCAACCTATGTTGATACACAAGTTGAATATGATTCAACGATGAATGTTTTAATGGTCTCACTGCTCTAATGTGTCAGTTGATTCAACTGCATTTGAATGTCAATTAACTTAAATTGCTAGTTGTGACTTAAAAAGCAAACAGAAACTATTAACAGCCCATCCAGATGGACGTGCATCAGCCCAATAGACCAATTAAGGCATAAGAGAGCCGCACATACTCCCAATGTGTGTCCGAGTGCATTAACCTCGGCGCAACAAACATTTGATTTGCATGCTTGTACGATGTATCTTACAGATACATTTCGGCTTCCGCCTGAATTTGTTGCCATTGCATTCGGCGCTGCACAGAACTCCGCCGCACTCAATTTAATTTAATAAAATTTCCGAGTTGCGGACGGGGGTTTTTCGGTTCGGTTCTATGACTATTTTTGGGGTGCCCTTTTTTGTAATTATTAATAATATTTTTCTCGTCTGTTCGCAGTTCGCGTCGAGTGTTGTGCACATAAAACTCATCCATAAACAAAATGGCTGAAAAGCTGTTTATTCAGATCGGCCACATAACTTCAATTAATCTCAATTAAGTGGCAAAAATACGAGTAGACTTCAGCATTTATTGATGGAAAGTTTTGTTTTAGGGTTCAGACCGTTCGCATAGCCCTTTTTTGTGTTTGTTGTTGTTTTCTTCTTTTCTTTTTTTTTTTTTTTTAGCTGGAGGCGGCAGGGCTACCAATTGAGGGTTAAGCCCTGGGCACATTAATTCCTATTGTATAACTTGGCAATTGGAGTTGTAAATTTGAAACTGGCCACTTTATTGGCATGCTAGGCCATAAAGTTATGTGTTAAGTTGCCCAAATTGAAATTTGTATGGTATATAAAAATGGGTAGGAGACTGGAGTGAAGCTTTTTCTAAATGATTGAAATATTGTTTATAGCTGGAGATGAGATATGTGGTTATCGTAAAATAAAGTTCAAAATATGAGCAACACTATAAACTGATTACAATTAAGCTACATTTTTTTAATTAAATTTTTTTTTTTAATTATCAAATTTATCAGCAGCAACTAATGTAATTCTATTGACGTGTTCTCAATTTAATGCCAGATTAACACACTCAGCAATTTTTAAACATTTTTATTTAATAGACATATTGCTATTTGATTACATAATTAATAAATTTAAAGCTGTTTTTCTTAATTAAAAAAATTAATTTCCACTCATTCGATTCCAATACCTTTCAACAACAATTATAGCAAATGTCAATGTTCCCGTTCCGCCCAAAAGAATGTCAGCTTTAATAATGAAAATAATATATTAATTTAAATTAGATGTATTATAATTGAATTAAAATTGATCTTTGAATATAGTCATAGATTCAAAGCTCGTAATATTAATACAATATTTACTATATAAATAACTTCAAAATCTTTGAGCTTATTATTTTCTATAATTAGTAATGGAGTTACTCGAGAGTAGAAGGGACAACCGACCATCTCTGGGCAGCCAAGTGGTGTGGCAATCTTTGCGGAAAGCTTTTGATTGGAACACTTGAGCACAGAACCGACAAGAAAGTAAAAATTAGGTCCTATTTAGACAACAATGTGTGCGCAATGGTGTGAAACTCTTGCCAACGTCTGGCCAAAGGGGAAGCTCAGCTCAGCTCCGCTCGAGATTCGGCGACCCTTTCGCAGTTTCATCTTGGCTCTTATCCTTGGCTGCCATAACAAATAAGACGTCACGCTCATTACAATATCACAATGGTTGGACCGCATTTTGAAAACCCCTCCGAGAAATGCGGTTCGAGTGCTCGTGCTTGCTTTTGTTATTTGTTTCACATTTTGTGCGTTTGCTCACTTGAGCCAAGGATCCTGTTCTTCAAAGAAGAAGAACAGAAGGAACTCCCTAACGCTCTTGCTCTCTCACTCTGGCTCTCGGTAATTTTGCGTATTGATTACAAGAAATATGTATTAATGTATAGATTAGAAGCAATATGCTGTGTTGAGCTCCGCACTTTTGTGTTCAAATTATCGCAATACATGTGGAAGGGCATCGAGTGCCTTAAGATATTATTGTTGGTCTATTGTTTCCCTATCATTTATGCAAAATGCTTACAGCCTTGAACCTCCATTCTCAACACGATACGATACCATTGCGATAATTCTCATCTTTAAATATATTCATTACAAGAGGTCGCGACGTCTCGCCTGGTCTGCATATCGGTTTGATTGATTACTCAAGTGGTTTATCGCTCGGCAATTGTTGCTCGGCGTTTTTCCATTTCTCGAGCATTGTTTCCCAAATTGCGCTCGAGGCGTTCACAGGGCGTGGCCCGGTCCTCTTGCATTGTTCCGGGGCCAGCATGTTGGTCACTTGAGAGTTGCGACTGTTTCCTTTGCAACATGTACATAAATGTCATTTAAATACCAGAATACAAGACTTATTCAAATATATCTCAAAATTTGCATGCATTCTGTAGTGCAGCCAAGGAGCAGCTGCTGCACAAGATTGCCAAATCTGACATAAATGAAATCGATCTTCAGGGCCACCAAGGGCGTGGCATGTGCTAAATAGCTCAAAGATCACAGCGATTATGAAAGGTCACATGAGTTTGGGCGAAAGTCATTGAAAAGAGAAGTCTGGATTCACATTCTGTGATCCTCAGTTGATCTTGACCTTTTGAATTATGTAGGCAACTAAACTAATCACATCTAAATATGCCTTTTTTTTTGGTTATCATTTCCACCCTCAATAAAAGAATTCCACTCGCGAAACCCCTTTGAAGATTCCACTTTCATTCAATTCATGCAACATCTGCAAACGATGCGTGAGAATTTTTTGCATGTCTGTAAAAAGCGTTTTGTGGTGCGGCGTCATAAAGCCACAGGAAGCTTCAGCATGTTGCGGCTCTGCCACAAACAATACACATAGCCACTCAAAAGTGGCACAGTTTGAGCTTGAGCAGCGACGCGACTATGATGACGATGATGACGATGTCTGTCAAGAGGCCACTCATACATTTGCAACAACTGGAGCACTTACTTCGGCAAGACGGTGCACGGTGGTGCACATTGGTTGGCCGCTCCGGCTGCTCCGGCTGCTCCTGCGGCGATGCGGTGCGCAAATGGGCACTCAAGTGCCTGGAATATTGCGCTAAGCTCCTCTCGCACAGCAGCAGATTGTCGCAATTTTCCTGTTTTTAGAGTTTGGGTAACAGAAATTAGTATTTCAATTTTCTTGATTAAAATGTTGCTACTCGGCGATGTGTGAACAAATGTCGCTCAACGTTTTTTTTTTAGTTTTAATATAAACCACATATTATATAATAAAGAAATGAAGATCAGTACCAATATGACACAAGATAGATATCCTGTATGCAGTCCGAACAACTTTTACTTTTACATTATAATGAAATTAGCTTGTTCTGTTTATGCTTTGGGAATATATACAATCATACATTTCCTACCGGATACATTTATGATAACGTAAAACAAAAAATTAAATATAGCATAAATAAAAAAGCGAAGTGGTGACGATTAATTATTAAAGTTTAGTTTAGATTAGCTTCAACACAATCTCACTCAGTGTTTTATCGAAGAGTGATCAATAAGATTAGGCTATATTTGTTGGCATTAGAATTATGATTTTTAGGGTGTCCCCATATTTTTTGAAAATGTGGAAGAACTCTATGAAAAATAAGATTTAAGATATTTGGTGAGCTTAAACATATTTTCCTATTGTTTTGATTCTATACAAAAAAACACAACGGAAATGATACGTATTTTTTTTTTAAATAGTACACAAATATGATTACTTGGACTTTTCTTTATATTTTGGGAACTTCTATTTTAGATTATTTGTTTATTACTTCAGCACGACCATAATAGCTTTGTTACTTCATTTCCGATCATGCTCTCAATGTATGTTGCAATTGCAGCAGCAATAATTAATTTAATTTATTTAACAAAGGTCATTGTCAGCTTTTCACACAGCAGCGCCACCATAATTTTCACTTCTGCCCAGGCAAATCGGAGTGCAGCCAGGGCCGAAAAGTGTCAGGGCTCCGAGTAATTACCACTCGGCTTATATCAATCAATGGGAAGCTATAGACGCGACAACGACTGTCGACTGTCGTGGGTAGTTTTAATTGAATATTACAAGAGGGATGTGCATTAATAAGGAAATCAATTTAAATCTCAGCGAGTTACTGTTGTTGTTGCTGCTGCTGTTGCCGTTGCCTGGTGCCTGCTGCCAAACGCATGAGAAAAACCTACGAAATTCTAAAAAAAAAAAATCTGCGGGCGTAGGATCAGTGGTTCAACGGTGGTGCCGCAGTGGAAGGGCTCTGTCTCTCTAACGGCTGCGAAATTCAATCCAACACTTCAATGAAGCAATAAGTTTCAATTGAAATGGATTTACTTGCAAATGAATTTCGCTTCCCAAGGTCAGCATCAAGTCTAGAGCATATCAGCCAAAACAATTGCGGGGAGTTCGAAAGTCTAACATCTTCAACAAGAAAGTAAAGCTTGTTTTGTGCGTAATACGAAGCTTCTAAATTTTTTAAAGGAATTATAATCGGACTAATATCTTATATAATAGCCATAGGAACAATCGGTCGGAGTTGGCCATTATTATTTGTAGCCGGAAGACAACTTCTTGTAATATTCAGATACATAAGCCAAGTCCATAATCGTTTCGAATAATTATAATATGTTGCTTAAAAATGCAAAACGAGTTGCTTTTGCTTTTATTTATATGAATACGAATATTTTTTATTTATAATACTTTACACAAAACTTTTAGTTTTACAAAATTTTCAAATCAGGTCCAGCCTACTGTGAATTTTTTTTGTAATCTTAAAATGTATTTTTTTTTATGTATGTAAACAGTCCAAAATATTTCTAATCATATTAACGCCAATCAAAGGCCATTAAAAAGCTTATCAACTGATACTTTGGCAAAGTAAACGAACCGTGTGAGTTCAGCATTATTTGCCACTTACAGTGGACTCCAGTTGGTGTCTCGTGGTCGTGCTGAAAGACATTCCATGCGGGTGCAGAAGGAGAGACGAACGAATTCATTGCAAAAATAACAAAGTCGATCGAAAAATTCTCACATTGTGTGATAGAACGAAAAATGAATTGCCTACTACGACAGCTGGTAGTGGTGGTGGTGCTGCTCCTGGTGGTGCTACCAAGTTGCAGCCTTGAAGAAATCCCAAGCGATAGCGAAACGCTGGTGAGCACCAGCCTGGGTTCCATTCAGGGCAGCACAATGAAAAGCTTTAGCGGACTGACGATCAACGCATTTCGTGGTGTTCCCTACGCTGAGCCACCGGTGGGTGAATTGCGTTTCCAAGCACCGAAACCCGTTCGTGCCTGGGCCCCTGAGACACTTAAGGCCACCTCCGATTCACTGATTTGTCCACAAACCGGAGTAACTTTGTTCATGAGCGAGGATTGCCTCAAACTGAATGTGTACAGCAAGAATCTAACTGGCAGCCTGCCTGTAATAGTTTATATACACGGTGGGGCCAATGTGCTGGGCAGCGGGCACAGTTTGTATGAGGCGGGTCCTCAGTACCTGCTGGAACACGATGTGGTTCTCGTCACCTTCAATTATCGACTGGGCGCCTTGGGCTTTCTGGGTGGCAGCAACAATGCGTATCTGGATCAGGTAATGGCACTGGAGTGGGTCCATTTCCACATCAGCAAATTTGGTGGTAATCCCGATGAGGTCACTCTTCTGGGCTTGAGTGCTGGCGCCATGGCCGTCAGCCTCCATTTAGTTTCACCATTGTCTGCTAGTTTATTCCATCGAGCCATACTCATGAGCGGCTCGGCCACGAATCACTTTAGCATCCACAATGAGTTCTGGTCACAACTCTTGGCCCGACAGGTGGGTTGTCCTCTGTACGATAAATATGATATGACCGAGTGCCTGCGGAACGTCACCTGGCAGCGCATCGTGGAAGTTTGCGCCACTTGGGAGCAGTATAAGTTCGTCAACATGAAGTGGAACTATGAGATCGATGGCATATTCTTGACCCAACATCCCAGTGTGTTGATTGATAAGGGTCTTTTTAATCGAGTACCGCTGCTGGTCAGCTTTACCACCAACGAACTGGATTTTACTACACAAGGTGAGTAGTGTTGATGTATAATTTATGTATTTTAATGTGTACTCTAATTTGATAACGTTAAACTTTCTTCTTATTCTATTATATTTTCCACAATTGGCAGAGCACCTTTCGAAGGATCTGCTGTTGCACGATATTATAACAAACTTTGATGATTATGCGCCCGAATTATTTCTCTTCGACTACGATGTGCAGAAGAGCAGGCGCATCAAGAGCTTCTATCTGGGTGAGAATACCAATGAGCTGAATGCCACAAATATTGAGCAATTCGGGAAAATCTTCTCGGACGGCATTATTGGCCACGGTGTCTATCGTTTGGTGGATCTGGCACGCATGTACACCAATGTCTATTACACACGCATGGACTATATAGGCAAAAGGAGTGTCTCGGTGCCGCTGACAGAAGAGAATGTGCCCAGGGGGGTGGGTCATGCCGATGACTGGCAGTACGTAATGCCCAGCTTGTGGTATGGCACCCAATTTGCCCAGAATCACAAAGATCTGTTCATGATGCAACGCTTGACCGATTGGATTACCCACTTTGCCGAGACGGGGTAAGACAAATGTTTAAAACTTATCCAGTTGGCTCGTTAACTAAGAAAGATTTGTCTTTAGAACACCCATGTTGGACGCTGATCAACACTGGCCACCCTGCAACGCTCAGCAGATACAGATGCTCTACAACGATGAAGTTGCCAAGTTGGGTCCACCCGCTTTCGATGATTACTATGCTGTCTGGGATGAACTATTTCCCAAGCCCAGGGGAAACGGTGCTGCCCAAAGCCAACTTCAGCTGCACGTTGTTGTCGTCATCGGTGTGGGTCTGGTTGCATTACTTTTTGGAAATAAATGTAGCCATTAGGTGCGGAAAAAAGCTTATCAATAGGCCGTTTAGATTACGCTAATGACGTCGCTTACTCGCTGCAGCTATTTACTTTGATTAATTAATCAACAAAGGCGTGAGATTTTTAGTGTTTCCCGAAGAGAGTTCAGTGTGTGTGTGTGTGTGTGTATGTGTGTGTTTGGGTGCTTGTGTGTTTATCTGTGTATTTGTGGAGCTGTTGGCCAGCGCCTTTGGGCAATTAGTCTTTGGAGCAGCTTAAATACACATTAATTTGTCTTTAAATGGTTCGTCTGCTGAAGTCGGAGACGCCTTTTGACCTTTTTGGACTCGTAATTCGGGCGATAATTTTTTGAAAGTGACAGGTTCGCACATGTTTTAACCCTTGGCACACCCGCCTCCAACTCTACACCCAACTCGCTTACCCCTCAGCTATCTATCGACTGACTACTGCTATTGACATATGAGATTGGCTGCATTTAAGGCGTTTGTTCTTGCGTGAAAATCTCTGGTTATTTGAGCAAGCGCTTGCAAAAAGATTATCGCCAGACATTTCAGGGCAGAGCAGGGCAGGGCTCAAAATAATTTGCTAAGGGGTGGTTTTAATGGGTGGTCGCATATCATGATTGCGAGTTCATATCAATAAGCGTCGACACTTTGATGCAAAATAAACAACGAGTTAATATTTGGTCGTAGACAGATTGAAGGTATTTTGTTACAGTTTAAAATGTATTTGGGCCACATCAAATTGAACACTTTGTTAAAAGAACTGCGGTCCTTCAAATGGTGCAGAATATTAAAGCTTTTTAAGGTTCATATATTAATAATAATAATATAAGCTATATAGGATAAATTAGATTAAAATATCTTTCGTATTGATAATTATATATAGTTCTGGATATTGTAAATGTTATCTGCTCCGTTTAACTGCAGCTAACTGTAAAAAAGTATGTAATTAATAAACCCTGAAATTTTATTTCAAAGTAATTGTCATTCTTATATTGTAATAATCAACAAAAAATGGCCTCAAAATAAATGAGTATAAATTAAAATTCAATAAAATGGTATTCTGTGTATTTTTGATTTTTTATCTCTTTGTATATGTTAGAAATTTAATTAACAGAAAGAGTAATGTTTATTAACTTATACGCTAACCTTCGCCAATGGGTGACAGTCATTCACAGACCTTGTTTAACTAATCAGGGACCAGGGACAAACCAAGTAAGCCACACCATCACAAAGAAGACCACATAATGACTTTGATGTAGAGTTCGTGCAAAGTTTTGCCAAAGAAAATATGGAAAATTAACTTGTTAGCCAACCCAGCAACCACACACATGCCTAAGGACAATATATGGTTGCGTGTGTGTGTGTGTGTGTGTTGTGGGGGCATGAGCAAACATTTAACTATACGCATTGTGCCGTATACTCTTTTGGGACAAAGGCCACAAAAAAAAAAAGGTGGACAAGTCAACTTGACAGAACGCATGACAGGACAGAAAAGAATAGCACAGAACAGCAGACAATGGCAGCAGTGAAAAGAAACAAGCAAAACATTTGCAAAAATTTTAATTAAATTTTTGGCAAAATACATATTCAAGAAGTGACGAGTCACATGTAAAATTGCGTACGAGAGCAGAGTTGCAACTGTGCCCCTAAAATGTTTTTGATTGAGCTCTTTGTCAAAACACCTTTTCCAATTGAGCAGCTGGTAAGGGGGTGAAATGAAAGACTGTGAAAGAGTTGTGATTCGATATATTCGAGTGGCTTTAGTGACTCAATTACAATAAGTCTATTAAACTTGTGTCTGTGGCTCGTCTAGACAAAACACAGCACCCGGACCGATCAGTCACAATGTCTGCGTCTGCGTCTGCGACTGCATCTCTCATCAGAGGTCTAGGCCCGGTTTGATCCGGGGTTGAACTGTGATGAGCGCGTGCCCCTTTTGACTTTCGACTGGTTCTTTGTGCCATCTAACAAACAGAAACGGGCTGCTCGCAATGATGACGATGATGATGATGCGAAGGTGTTCCAGCTGCCGGTTAGGATTGTGTCTCGATTTCACTTTCGTTACGCCTGCGCCATATTCGAGTGTATTTTAAATGAAAACCTGGTCCTTGATCGGTTTGCTCCTCGACCGTTTGGCTCATTGCTCTTTTTTTTTGTTCTGTTCATCATCATCATCATCATCATTATCAGGTCGCGGCTGTGGTTTTGATTACGTATTTATAAAGTACACAATGGACGCAAAAGGAGTAAACATTTTGAAGTAGCGCCGTTCCAAATGCTTTATAGGTTTGTCAGCTATCGAATTATGTATGTATGTCTGTCTGTCTGTCTGTCCGTCTGTATTTTCGTATCTGTCTGGCTGTTTATGCGTTTTGTCAACATATCATATTACGCCCCAATCCCAGGACCAGAACCAGGCCCATAATCGCTAATGACAATACAAATTGAGAGTGGAGAGTGAAGAGTGAAGAGCCTTGCGCAGGCGCAGCGGCTTTGTTGGTTTTTCTGGGAAGGCTCAGCCACTGACAGCCGGCGCAGCGTGCTTATAATATGTTAAACAATATATTTGTTTGGCATTTTAAGTGAATTTCGAACGCCGTATTTTTGGTTTTATATTTATATTTTATTTTTTTTTTTTTGGGGTTGTTCGCAGCCATCACCTTGAAGCCATCGATTGATATTCGTGGAAAGGCAGTTCGAGCACAGCAATCAGAAGCTTTTTCAAAGGAAATTAAAAACATATAAGAAACGATTAAGTTCAATAAGTGACACTTGAGCCTGTAATAAAGAATTTGTTAATAAAAATATCATATTTATAATATAGCTTAATAAGCGTTTAGGACATTTTCATATAAGTTCAAATGCGCCAAATAAAATAAACCAATTAAGCAGTCCAAAGACGATACTCAACATTGATTTGCTCTGTCAAACATTTTTTAAAATCTTTCAGTTAATTGTTAGCGTCACCCTGAAGCAATATATGGGTATAAAAAAAAGAAGATTTTTCCTACAAACACAATTAATTGATTAATTTCGTAAGCTGGCGCCTACGCCTTGACGGACAGACAGCAAACTGACAGCAGAAATACGATTGTATAATCGCTTCTCTTAATTAAATATTTATACAAATGTAAATTGCCTTGATTAATGAATCGGAGTCCTGTGCGAACACTTGTAACAGCTCCCAGGGTACAACAATTCCAAAATCAAACAATAACAACAAACATCAAACGCAATTCATCCAATGCACAACAGGCAAAAGGACACTCGACTGCTTTCTACTTTCTCTCCCCTTCTTTGCTCGGGGTGTGGAGAAAGTGTTCACATCAAACGGTCTTCAAATTAATTGTTTTGCCTGTGTTTTTATATTTCACGTTTTAGTTGGGCCCGATAAACAATTTGATTATTCGATAAACAAATACAAAGTACAACTACACACACACACACACACAGTTGACACACACTCACACATACATATGTGAGAGACTGCCCCCAAAAAAAGACTCACTCCCTTCCATTCGCCATTGTCTCGCTGTCTGTCACAGGCGGCATCGCTGGCTACTCCATGACAGCTTTGTATGTGTGCACATATGTGTATGTGTGCGTGTGTGTGTGTCTGTGTGTGTGTGTAGGTTGTGTGTGGTCGCCGTTTGAGTGTCTTTTGTTGTTCGCTTGTTCTGATATCGTCGCTTTTGTTTGAAGCTCCGGCGACAGACAGCGACAACAATAGCAACAACAACAACAACAAGAACAACATGATTGTGATTTTGGGGAACCCGGGACCCAATCATAATTATGCATGTTGTTTGTTGTTTGTTGTTGTTTGGGCTCTTGTTAATAATGGCGTTAATGCTTATGGTGATGAGAAGAACATGGACCACCCTCGCTTTACATATCATTTTGGGCCTTAAATCTCGACTATATTTATGGCTACTCGAGTGACAATGCCTTAGAAAGGACACCAACAGGTAATAAAATATGAGCAGCGGATTTCTTAAAGATAGACACATTCTTAAATTAATTATATTGTCTTGATATGCAAAATGGCATTGAAGAGCTTAAGTATATAGGATGATAACATATTGTTGAGAGCAGCCAGCTAAGATCGCAGCAGGGTCACACAATTGTAAATAATTATTTAGTATGTGGAAAATTTCAGAAGACAGAATTATACAACTTCTTTGGCATCGTAATATCAACCTGGTATAGGAGTTGGAGAAGCGAGTTAATGATTCTAATTCTAATAATGCACAAAAACTGTCTGAAAAAGACCCATGTGATTCAGCAGCAGCTTCTCGAGATTAGAAGATAGAGCTTGTCAAAGGTTTCCTTTTTATAGCTATACGAATACTATGAATCCAATAATAATCAAATTAAGTGTAAAGCTGATAAAGAGAACTCAACAGTTCAGATGCTGATAAGCATCCCAACATTTGTTCAGCTCAAGGCAAGAATTGAACATAATGACTCTTGAGTGAGCCCTATAAATAACATCATATCGCCAATTCCGCAATTAAATTACATTGGAAACCAATTAAATCACACGCTGTAGTCAAGTTAGTGGAATTCCACCCACTCATAAGTTGTTTAGCTGATAATCTGTGCACCCATAAAAAGCGCAATCATCGACAGCACCACAAAATCTCATCCAAATAGCCCAATAATTACAGGCGTGTTAAGTGCCCCGGCGATCGACCAAAATTGTTTGCACTCATCTCATCTCAGCCTCAAAACTGTGCAAATATTTGTTTGCAGTTTTTCAAAAGCGACTCCTGTCAATGTTTTTGTTGTTGTTGTTGTTGTCAGATGTGATTATTAATGTGCTTTGAATGGGATAGAGTAGAAGTGGTTGGACTGACACCCCTGCAGTGGAATCAGTGCACCCTCTAACGTATGCTAGTTGTCAGAGAGGGTGTGACAATCCGTAGAGCCCAACTAATGAGTGTAAACAACGGCCTGGGCAAAAATTACAAATCCCAAAAAGACAAAAACAAAAAAAAAAAAGAAAAAAGAAGAAAAAAGGAACTGC